CAACAATAAGTCCTTTTCTCTGCTGTGGAGGAATGTGGGTACTAAATGCAGTTAAATCTCTGCAAGTTAGCTGTGTTCGTGAACTTGGAAGCAAGGTGCTACAGAAACGCTGTTTATCCCGAGTTCTATGCTCCGCCACACCAAGGGGTGAGCACCTTCTGCACACCTGCTTGCCCAAGGTCACCTGACAGGCCCCACCCTCCTTGCCTGGCACCTCAGGGAGCCCTCCAGAATCCAAGGACCAAGGTCAGCTCAGCATGAGTCCTTCTCCCCCACACTGCCTCGGCAGGAGGCCTGGCACAGACCCTGAAACCGATGCCAACCTCTGCTCTATCTCTGTGACCAGCCAGTAACATGCACAGAGCTTGTCTTGATTCAAGGCCTGTGTCTATGAGAAATGCAGCTGTATCGTCATCATTGCTGGTGACATTACGCTTACCCCCAGGCCAGGCCACTAAGTGAACAGAGTCCCTGAGCAAGGCAGCACCCGAAGCCTACTTTAAGACGAGCAAGAGAAATTCACAGACCCGGAAGAAACGTATCCAGCCTCAGAGTGAACAATGCTGGTCGGGCAGCAGGCAGGAAGATAAGCTTAAATGCTAAGCCACTGGTTAGCAAGGCATGCCATGTAGAGAGGCCTCCGGGTCACCCTCTTTATTATAAGGTACCTAAAATTGAAAAGGGGGAGGAGTTACAAAACTCAGGAAAGAGATCTTGCTCACTTTACATACAGCTCCTTCAGTTTCTTTGGCTATTAAACAGAAGCGAACCCTCCCCACCCCCACCCCCTCACAGAAACTAAGGTATGTATACAGAGCTCACTGAAAGAAATTTTCAGAAATAAAACTTTCCCCTAAATAATTATTAGCTAAATAGTTTCAACCAAGCTGTAAGGGGGGAAAAAAAAAAACAGGGTAATTTTATTTCTTGCTACCTGGGGTTATATGGTAATTATGCAAATGCCAGGGAATTTGTCACTTTGAGTAACCATATGCGCAAAATAACTTGATTAAGTAAAATACAGTTGCCTTAGTCATCGCACTAATTTGACAAGGACTTTAAAAATGTCTCTCAGCTGTCTGCTTCTGGGTTAGATATGCACATACCCATCTTCAAAATGATGCTTCTTTAGGGGGAAAAAAAAAAGAATAACAAATCCAGCGGTTTCACCTCACCCACTGATTGTAATGCCACTGAATGCTTTCAAGTCTAAAAAAAAAAAAAAAGGGACTGTAAAGCAGTGAGATGAAACCTTATTAAACATACTCAGTCATTCATCTCACTGCTACTCTATCACAAGCTCAGACTTAGTTTTTACATAACTCTACAGGGGTAGGAAAGGCCTACCCCGGGTTCCTAGGGACCACACGTGCGTCCCACCTAGAGATGAAACTGGCCTTTTAAAGTTTTTATCCTGAGGAAACTCAAATGCTTTTGTACGGGAGGGTCAATCATCACTGCCCAGAGGTGGCAGAGGCTTTAATTTCCTGTACACATCCTTATCTGCTCCAGGCCTCAGTAATTTGATAACACACAGGAACCTCTCTGTGCAGTGCTACCCGCAGTAAATAGCTTCAAACACCTCAGTGAGTCTCCACAGAACACCATAAAGTGCACACAGAATAACTATCTCGCTGTGCAGTACCCAGAGGCCTACGTCTTCTCCAAACAAGCCAAGACTTAAGCAGATGTTACATCCTTGCAAGGAGGTCATTTCAGACCGGAGCCACCAGAAGCAAAGACCCAAGTAGAAGAAAATTAAATTATATTCTCGAGTCTGCACACAGTGACAATCAAACTGATTGAGTCTCTCTTCTTACACTATTTCGTAGCCAGTCAGTATAAGTGACTAGGAGAGGTCATCCCTGGGGCTGGACCCTCCCTTGGCTTATCTGAAGCATGATTTGCAGCTAAAATATTTGCAAGAGTAACAGTTTTCAGAATCCAGTTGGCAAGCAGATTACTTTATCTATATTATCACCAAGTCTGGCCTTCAGGGTCAATGTCAGTGTTCTTCTGTACTTCCCTGGGAGACCTCCACACCCAGGCAAAAAGTAGCTGATGACCAGCCTAGCTTAACAAGTG